TAAAAGGTACTATCTTTCACCATTTTCATTGGTATAAGATAGTATAGTTACATGTTATGTAATATATAAATATATAATATCGGTAAAGTTGGTTAAATATAATGCTTCTAATACATCAGTGTATGTGTTATGACGATAATAAAATAAAATATAAATAAAATAATATATAATTTAACGCGAACACCTTGTTGCGGCTCTGTGCGCTATCGTTGTACATGTTTGATTTCTAATCATTTGAGCTTTTCACGATTAAAATAATATATTTTACTGATATATTTAATCTAAATAGGTTGTGGAAAACTTTGATGAAATGAACTTGAAAGAAGAACTGTTACGTGGTATATATGCTTACGGGTTTGAAAAACCATCTGCAATTCAACAACGTGCCATCCTACCCTGTATAAGGGGGCTCGATGTTATTGCTCAGGCCCAGTCTGGTAAGAATTTTTGATACAGATCAGTAATTAATACTACGTAAATATTTTGTGCGAAGTTTATTATGTATTATACCAATCAATGTATCCAATCATTTACAGGTACTGGAAAAACTGCTACGTTCTCAATATCGATCCTCCAACAAATCGATACTAATCTTAAAGAATGCCAGGCCTTGATCCTCGCACCAACTCGTGAGTTAGCTCAACAGGTAAATAGTTCGTTAGAAGTGTTTTAATATAAAGCCACGTTTAATATCAAGAAAATGTTGAATTCTAATAATATTATTATCTTTACTTAGATCCAGAAAGTCGTTATCGCTCTAGGAGATTTCATGCACGCGGAATGTCACGCGTGCATTGGTGGCACCAACGTTCGCGAGGATATGCGAAAACTGGATCAGGGTGTTCACGTGGTTGTCGGTACGCCCGGTAGAGTTTACGATATGATCAGCCGACGAGCACTTCGAGCAAGTAGCATCAAACTGTTCGTGCTGGATGAAGCTGATGAAATGCTTTCTCGAGGATTTAAGGATCAAATTCACGATGTATTCAAATTATTACCTAATGAAGTGCAGGTAAATATAAAACTTATATTTTCGGGCAATGTAGATTTTTTTAATTACAATTACTATCTAATAGATCAATTTTATTTTAATTATTAGAAAGTATCTTTTTTGGACAAGTCCACAAATCATAACAAGACGAAAAAGTTGCAGTGTACCTTATAATAGTCGAGTTAACGAATATATTATAAAATACAGGTGCGTCGTAATAGTGTCATTTTTGACAAATGTACACTGGATTGACATATGCTCTGTATCATGAAATGTGTTATCTTTTTGTCTGGAAATAATAGCGGCCTAAATGCAAACAATTATTGTGGCATAGCACTCCTAATAATAATAATCATAATGTCCTAAAAATCAATTAGTCACTTTTAATATCTCTGTAATAGCAACAACAATTTACAATACCTGTTACAGCATGATGCTATTATATTGCACACACATGTATAGTATAACATCTCAGTAAATGCAGTTTATTTCTTTCATCGACATATAATATCGATCATCACATTGTATCGAGATATGATTTCTTGCATACAGTTCTAGTCTTCGTATTTCTAATGCAATACATTATTTTTTCTTTCTAGGTTATATTATTATCTGCGACAATGCCAGCTGACGTGTTGGATGTATCCAAATGTTTTATGCGGAATCCCATTCGTATTTTGGTTAAGAAAGAGGAGTTAACCTTAGAGGGTATCAAGCAATTCTTCGTTTATGTCGAACGTGAAGATTGGAAATTGGAAACTCTTTGCGATTTGTATGATACACTGAGCATCACCCAGGCCGTTATTTTCTGCAATACGCGGCGTAAAGTAGATTGGCTAACAGAGAGTATGCATAAACGTGACTTCACTGTTTCTGCTATGCACGGAGATATGGAACAGAAAGAACGCGATCTTATTATGCGTCAATTCCGAACTGGATCATCTAGAGTCTTGATCACTACTGATCTTCTAGCACGTGGTATAGATGTGCAACAGGTTTCGCTTGTTATTAATTATGATTTACCTTCCAACCGAGAAAATTATATTCATCGGTAAGTTATTATTTTATACTTTTTAATTGTTATTTTGAAATAAACGCGATGTAATTTATAACTTATTTGAACGAAATAGAAATTTCTAGTAGCAAAAACTTATAAGACATAAAAATACGAATAAAATATAAATTTTACTTTATATAACTCTAATTTAAAACAACTGTAATATTTTTTTTAAGAATTAGAATATTGTACTTAAATATTTTATATCTTTAAATTCAAGCCATAGATATATGTATTTTACAGAACGATAAAAGACATCAACAATATAATCTTTATGTTGCAAAAAGATAGACATGCTTCGAATTTTACATCTATTAAAATGTTAGAATTTTGTAATGTCACAAATATACATATATAATTTGTGTTTAATTTCCTTATATATATGTATAGATACTTATATTTTTGTTACTTTTTCTGATTCACAGAATTGGTCGCGGTGGTCGTTTCGGCCGTAAAGGTGTGGCCATTAATTTTGTGACAGAGGAAGATAAACGAACCTTGAAAGATATCGAGCAATTCTATAACACTCACATCGACGAAATGCCAATGAATGTCGCTGATCTGATCTAAGTCCGACTGTTGGCTATAATCCATTATAATAAAAAAAAAATAATAAAAAGTAAGTGACAGAAGCTCTCAGCTGATCGATCTCTCATGGTGTGTGAGTATATATATTGAGTGAGTTGGTGAACTATATCGCTTATGTAAACGCGATCTAAACCAAAATATTCCAACGTTTTCATATTCGTTTCGATTTATAATAGTAGGTTACGGAAATAGTTATCTGTTGCGCTACAGGAGATAGTAGTACGACTATTATTACTATTAGTGTAATTATCACTACTGTTGCCGCTACCGATATTGCCGCTGCTGCTGCTACTACTTATTCTTATCGTTACCGCTATTAATATTACTATAAATATTATACTATACTATCATTGGTATTACTGGTACTGATTGCTATCAAGATTATATTTTATTTTAATTTTTAACAATAATATAGCGATATTATATATATTACCACGACTAAAATATCACGCCACACAGAGTGGTGAATAGAATTAGAAAAATACGAAAAGCGCAGCTCGGCGCAGTGCGATTATACTTTATTCCTATTGTCGCAACAAATTTTCTATTGCCCAGAATGCATCCATATTCTTATTCTGCCGCAAATCCAATGGCCATCATAGAAATTTTCAAGTCTTGCCTTCTGAGACTTCTCGTCCCGCTTATTTTTTCTGAAAATGTTTCTAATTGGATGATTAAATTTGTTGTGTTTAATAGTCCATATTTCATGCTTTTATCACCGCGATTACAACTTGTTTGTCTAGGCAGAGGTTTAGTTGGGTATTGGAGGGGGTACTTTAATCACAAGCGTTGCCGAAGGAGAGGTATATTCAAACTTAGATGATATGAATTTTTGTATATCCTAAATCCCAGATGCATACACCTTTATTATTAAATAAAATGTTTGACCTTTTAAGAAAATGTGGTCTTTGTTATTAGTCTTGTCTTTCTTATCAAATTTTATCCAATTTCACAATGAAAACCCTGAATGGACAAACTGTGTTTACGAGTGAGACACAAATTCTGAAGTGCTCCGCTTTGGGAATAAGTTTTGCGTTTTATATGCCGAAAAAGTTCTCACAATTTTCTTTTATTTGTATTTGCAGGCAGTTTTGGACAGTCCAGATGTGGGCGACAATATTTTTGGAAATAAAGACCAGATTTCCTGATTCAAAAAAATCGAAGTTTTGTAAATCGATTACCTATCTAAACTCCTGCCTTTTTGTAGGCTACAATAATATATGTATATTTACTCTTTTCTTTTTTATACTTTTACATTCTTATTGATAATGGAAGATGATCAGTTCTTAGATTTTTTATATTTGTCAATAAAATTCTTTGCAAATATTCTTTACGCATATTCATAAGTTTCCGTGCACTTATCAATGCTAAATATTAAATTGAAATGTTATCTGCCTTGTGAGAACTTTTGTATCGTGTCTTTACAAAATTATTAAAAATATTGCGATATCATACTCTATTGTCGTCATTAATCGTAAATTTGGAAAAGTGTTAATAATGGTTTTCGAAAATCTGAGTGATCAAATCATGTAAGCGCTTTTATGCATTTTATAGCTGCTGATTTGTGATTGCATTAACTCTTCTTTCTCGTACATTGGAATGCGACTTATGTTAATGCAAAAATCATCTCGAATTTCCGAAGACTAGTTCTTAAAAATACTGTAAATATTATATAAATGGACCCTGAAGGAATGGACCATTGTGTGTCTATTGTATTTATACATCATATAAATAATATTTATGATTGAACGTATAAACTGAATACAATAAACGTGAATGTCCTTTACTTGTATTATCAATACCATTAAGTGAACTGCTGTTATTCGAATAAGTGTATTATGTATAAAATTATACTCAAAATTACGAAAAGAAAAGTTCTGTAAGCATTCATCGACGTAAAACGGAAGATTAGGGGTATGCCTTCTTAAAAATATCTGAAGAGCGCACAATCACAGATGCATTTTGATGAAAATATTTTTCAGTTTAATTATACATACCAGCTGAAGAGATTAAATTCATAAATTTAAAAACATAATGGATATCCGAAAACATTTGAATCGTAAGTATTTGTCATATAATTTGACTTCGTAATACAATTTTACTGTAAAATAAAATAAGGACTTCTTTATGTTTCGAGAATTTTATATGCTTTATGGATTATATCTACAACGAATTTAGAAGAGACATAAAGTACTGAATACATTTATCAAAGTTTTTTTATTTTCTTGGAGATTTTCCTTTTTAGTTGCATAAGTCACTGCATAAATTTTGATTTTGATTTATTCCAATTGTATAAAGCGTACATACGATTTACAACGTATTGATTCTCGAAATTTTCTAATGGACTACTTTGATTTTATAAATCGACATCTTTTGTACTTAGAATGACTTGGAGTGATCAAGCTCCAATTAACTTAATCGATAAATCACTTGTTCATACTTATACTATTTTTTATTAATATGAATAGAATTATATTAATTTCTTATTGTTTAATACGTAAGAAGAAAAATTAGAAACGACAAATTTTATATAATCTTATAGTTAGATATTTTGTTGTGAGGGATTATGCGGTTGAATTAATCATTACCTAAAATCGGAAGTCGTCCTTAGTGGTGAACTCTAATTAATTTAATTGGCAGTTAATTTGTCAAGTAATATATCCTCAATATTTTCAAATTAACTAGAAATATATGCATTAATGTTTTGTTTAATACGTGATGGGAATAAAAATTTTAAATTAGAAATAACGAATTATATGGTTAAAAGTTTTGCTATAAGCAATTGCGCTGATTCATTAAATTAATCACCGATTAAATTAATTGTCCAGCGTCATCCACAGAAGCATTGTAAAATCGATCACGTGTGTCTTATATAAGGAAGGCCATGCATTTATTGTAAATTGTACATTAGAGATAAAATCAATTAATTTCTCGAAAGTATCTTTTAATGCTTTTGTATAGTATATTTTAAGTCTGTTTTATTTATATTTGATTAGTACTTTCTGAAATAAAATATTTTTATTTTTATATACTACTCGGATGTGTTAGAAAGAGAAACAACGAGAACTGCGCGTTCAGAAAGTACAAATAAAAAGAACACACGGCCAACTGTTCGAGGATTAGGTTAGGTTTCGTCTCCGTAGTCCGTCTGTGAGCAGTGTGAGCTAGACACGTGCGTTCATACCGTTTATTAAAGGTGCTTGTGGCATGCTGGAAAACATATAAATTTATCAGACCTTTTGTAAGTCGGCGAATTGCTAGAACGTGTTCAATAGAAAATCGTACAATAATAGTGCAATAATACTGATTATGAGGTTATTAATGCGGGCATTAATGAGGTTATTTTTGGTATCAGAGGTTTGCCAAATCATTTATCCATTAATGGACAAAAGAGCTTAGAAAAGGATATAAAAGGAAATAGAAACTGTATTGAAAGACAGATAAATATTATTAATCAAAATGTCTAAGCGTCCAGAGCGTATGGCACCGCCTGAGGTGGTAAGTTATAAACTTCGTTGACTTGCATAATTGTTTTTTTATATGGTTTTTATATATGGTACAAGTTAAAAAATATATTAATAAATCAAGGTAGAAGCTAATTCCTTTTTTTTTCCTATGACAGTATTATGATGAAACAGAAGCTAATAAATATACACATAGGTATGTCTATATGAAATTTTTATACGAAATACCTAGATATTTACTATAGTTTCATAATAAAATCCATGTTTTTGCAGCTCTCGTATGATAGAAATTCAAGTACAGATGTGTGAACGTGCTATAGAACTTCTTGTTCTACCTGAAGATCAGAGCTGCTTGCTTTTGGATATCGGTTGTGGGTCAGGGCTCAGTGGCAGCGTATTGGAAGATCAGGGACACGTATGGATAGGTATGGACATCTCTTCAGCTATGCTTGGTAAGTATTTTAATTATGGTGCGATACAGTGATATTTTAAGAATATTTTTTACAGCATATGTAACATATGCATATATATAATCATATTAAATTAACACATTATTTTCAGACGTAGCTGTTGAAAGAGAATTAGATGGTGACCTAATTTTGGGAGATATAGGTCAAGGATTGCCATTCAAAGCTGGTACGTTTGATGGGGCTGTCAGTATTTCAGCGCTTCAGTGGCTGTGCTATGCAAACAAAACTTCGCACAATCCTACAAAACGTTTATATCGTTTCTTCTCAACGTTGTATGCATGCCTGTCAAGAAGCGCAAGAGCAGTGTTACAATTCTACCCAGAGAACAGTGAACAGGTTGAATTGATCACGGCACAAGCCACAAAAGCTGGCTTTTACGGCGGGGTGGTTGTCGATTTTCCAAATAGCGCAAAAGCGAAGAAAATGTTCTTAGTTTTAATGACCGGAGGAGCTGCTCCGCTTCCAAAGGCACTAGGCGTAGAGAACGAAGATAGACTAACCGTCGCTAATTCAAGAAGGTTTGATCCTCTCGTTGTCCGTTATATCTATTATTTTGTAATTTGCATTTATTTTAAATATTTCTCTAACTATATTTTTACCTTCCAAAAATTGTGATAATTTTTTGTACATTTTATGTTATAGGGAATACATAAAGAAAGCCAAGGGTAAATCGTTGAAGAAAAGTAGGGACTGGATTTTAGAGAAGAAAGAAAGGCGGCGCCGGCAAGGAAAAGAAGTTAGAGATGACTCCAAATATACTGGACGAAAGAGATCCGGGAGATTTTAATTGTAAGATAGACTTCGTTAACATAAAACATTATTTTAATAATTTTTTTTATAATGTTAATTATAAATAAGAAAATTCATAAAATTGATCTGATTAATTTTCGTCTGTTTCCATATCATCGATCTACTACTTAAAAAAAATATTTTCTTTAGTAACGAAAAATGTGCCTAAAAAATTTTTTTGTTAAAGAATATCAAACATAAAATTTAATAATCGCATAAATGTTTGTGTATAAAGGGGAATATTTTCCCTTAAAAAGGATATTAGGAGTTCTTTATAATGGTAGGTAATAATAGGCAATATTAATAATAAGAGATCAGAATGAGTTCAATATTTTATATTATTCTTTACGTAAACATAAATTGTGAAATACTCTGTTGTACTCGAGTAGGTAATACTTTTTGTAATTCTTCGTGATCTAACCACTGGTATTTTACATTGTTGGTGATATCTCCATCCATATATTTGGCTAAGAAATAAAATATTTTAGCACCATAACTTCCTTGCTCGCAAAGCTTCTTAGGATATTTATATTTATAGAATCCAATAGGTGCATTTCCATAAAACTTCACTTTTATTGTTGCACCACATGTATCTTGTAATATTCTCTCCGCAGTCTGTAAAGGAATTGATAATAAATATTTTCAAATAATTTTTTTTGTCTCCATTAAGATACATGCAAAATTAGTTGTAGAGAGAAATTGTAAATACATACTTGTCTCATGGTCTCTCCTTCCTTTCGAATATCTTGGGGAGGTATCCAATAATGTAAATCACCTACTTTCTGTTGCACCAATAACAGCAAATTTTTGTCCAATTTACGTTTTAAAGACGACGTTACATTTTGTTCATCAAATTCTGAAAATAACAAATCATTTATGAGAAAAATGTATTTAAATCATATAATATATAAATCTTCCTTTCGTGAAACACTCATAAAAAAAACTTGATATTGTATGATTTATTTCGATCCTTATCGTTAGATTTTATCTTATGCACTTATAGAGAAGGAATTAATGCATACTCGTAACTCTTGGCGCAAATTTAAAATTTTTAAATTCCTCTTGATAACTATCCTCAAAGTCCTGCGCAGTTTGCACTAAAATATCTGCGTCGTCCACATCGGTTGACTTCTTCTGCTTCTCCTCTCTTTCCTTTTTCAATTCATAATCGCACTTTAGACTATTTTCATACTCCACTTTCCTTAACATGTCATGAAACTTCAGTTCTATTTCTTGCATCGACTGCGTTATAACCGGATGACGTTCTAAACAGACAGCGCTGTACAAATCCCATTTTTTCGTAGCTGCGGCAGTACCAAACGTCCGAGTGTCCCGACATTGAATCACGTTCGAACATATCGTGGCAGCCTTTTTTGACGTAACTGTATAAAAAAAATATATATTAGGGAATATTAACATGCAATTACACGCGACATCGCGTTATTACAGCTAAGTGACGGTAAACGTTACAATCAAATTGAAGGTTAACAATATACAGGGAGTTATCGCTTTTCTAAGTTAATGTTTCCTAATACTCGAAGAGGAATAAAGCAACTGTTTCTGCCTACCCGGTAAAATCTGATTTAAATTATGTCCGGGCCCGGATCGGAGAATCTGTTTGAACATCTTTAATACGGTTGTCTCATAACCTAACAAAAACAGTCGCTACCAGTCGCTACGATGCCTGTCGAGCGTTTCGATGCCTCGACCGTTCGAGACTTCGAGATCGATAGCGCCGTTCGATAGATTTCGTATTCCGGTATTACGACTGCGGAACGCGCCGCGTCGTTCGTGTCATTTCGTACATACTCGTCGAATGTCGGGATTCAAGTCGCGATTACCCCGTTTGGAAGCCAGGGCTGCCAGATTGGGCTATTTAACGCAAATTGGGCT